GACACCCGTGTTCAGTCAGTGAAAAATCTGGAATCTCAGTCCTAAAACTGAGGAACTGAATTTTGCCAACAACCTGAACCATCAAGGAAACAGATCTTCCCCTAGAACAGTGATGGCGAACCTATGACACGCGTGTCAGAGGTGACACGCGAACTCATTTTTTTGGTTGATTTTTCTTTGTTAAATGGCATTTAAATATATAAAATAAATATCAAAAATATACATCTTTGTTTTACTATGGTTGCAAATATAAAATATTTCTATATGTGACACGGCACCAGAGTTAAGTTAGGGTTTTTCAAAATGCTGACACACTGAGCTCAAAAGGTTCGCCATCACTGCCCTAGGGGGACAGTGGTTGTGGCTAGGGTCTGGTCTCTATCTGTTGGGCTCCAGAGCCCTTCATGAGCCTGTGTGCTGAAGGCCTCCTTCAGAGCTCAAGGAGAAGATGCCCCCACACTTGGACAAGAAGACCGGACATCTGAAACCTCACCCCTGACTCCTCTTTCTCCCACCCCCACCTCCAACCCTTCAGTAAGTCCTATTGCTCTAACCAAAATACATCTGGAATCCAGCCCCTTTCACCACCCACAGCAACCACTCTGGTTCTTTAAAAATATAAGCCAGATCATGCCCGTACTCTGCCCTAAACCCTCAATGGCTCCCATTTCACTCTGAGAAAAAGCCCACGTCCTTACAAGGGCCTACAGGCCCTATGTGACCTGGTCCTGGCCACCTCTTGGATCTCCTGGTCACTTCTCCCAAGTCCCCCACCCTGCCCTGGCCACAGCTTCCTCCTTGCTGTTCTTCCCGTGTCCTCCAGCCATGCTCGTGCCCCAGGGTCTTTGCACCTCCTACTCTCTCTTTCTGGAATGTTCTTCCCCAGCTGTCCATGTGACGTGCTCCTGAACTTCCTTCAGGTTTTTACTCGAATGCCTCCTTATGAAAGAGCTCCTTCCTGACCAGCTTGTCTAAAATATCAGCCCCTGTCACTCTCTATTCTGTGTTCCTTTTTCATGGCCCTGATCACCATGCAGGCCAACTCCATCTCCCAGGGCATGTTTTTTTAAACAAGAGCCTTCAAAGTCAATCCCTTCTCTCACTATCATTGCCCATCTCCAGTTTCAGCCCCAACCCAACAGCTTCCAGAGGGAGCAGAAGTTGCCACCACAAGTGAGAGGTGGAATCAGGAGCTCTGCCCCCTTTAGATGTCTTACTGGAGGCTGTCTACACAGTGGTTGTCACCACCTGTCCTTAAGCCCTGGAGATGTCTTGACTCTAAGGGGATAGCTTGGTGTTTTCTCTGGCCCAACATCATGGGCACAGCCTCCATATCAGCAAGGAAAAGGAATAAGATTCCCAGCAACGGGTCCGTGCAGGTGACCCTGCTGGCTGGCTAAGAATGGGGGAAAGAAGACTCCAATGTGGCTCCATCCTGAAGAATCAAAGCAGCACGTTTTATTTATTTATCTATCTATTTATTTATTTATTTATTTATTTATTTAATCTTTATTGTTGAAAGTATTACATATGTCTCCCCCAGCCCCCCTTTCTGGCCTGCCCCCACCCCCTGCCCTGGGCCTTCACCACCCTATTGTCTGTGTCCATGACTCCAGATCCCTAGGGCTTGGGCTGGGCAGGGTGTCCAACAGCCTCCCCAGCTCTGACTGTTTCAGCCCACCTTCTAGAGCTTCCTCTGAGCAGGAAGCTGGGCCTGACTTGCTGGTAGTGGATTAAAATAGAGCTTGGCTAGGTCCAAGCGCATGTGTCTGACCCAGGGTGACTTTTAAGAGCAGATGTGAGCAGAGATAGAAGTACTGCACCAAGAGGAGGGTGACTTTTAAGAGACTTTAGCAGATGTGAGCAGAGATAGAAGTACTGCACCAAGAGAGGCCAGGAGGAGAGACCTGTTGTGAGGCCTTCCAAGAGCTTCTTGGCCGTTCTCCTCCTAGCTTCTGTCTGAGAGCCAGGTTCTGTCCTGGGCTGCAACCTGAGATCAAAGGCCTTGTCCTTTTCCCTGCAAAATAGCGGGGCTCAACACACAGGTGCTAAGAGAAAGCCCCTCCTGTACTGTGTGCCCACCTTCTTGAGCAAATCCCACCTGGCTTATTCTTTATGGCTCCTTCCCCCAAACCTGGGAGAGCTGACCCCGTTTTCCCTGCTTTCTTGCTCAGCCTTTCTGTGGCCTCAGGGGCCTTGGTGCTGGGGAGGAGCTTCGGTACTGCCTGGCACCAACGTGAGTGTGGGCAGAGCCTCGCCAAGTTTCCCTTGGCTGAAGGATTCCCAGGAAGGCCAGAGCTGAGCACTTGGTCTTAGTGTCTTGGGGAATGCAGTAGCACTGAGGGGACTCCTCGTGCCACCACATTGAGGCCAAGAAGTGGCAAGGTGGTCTTTCATGTTACTGACAGCGCTTGGAAGATCAGCAAGGCTAAGTGACAGCACTGAGGTGGTTTAGGGAAGGACTCAGGAGAAATAGCCAGACCCCCCCTTCACCGCCCCCACTCTCAAACAAGAAGTTGGTCCTTGGGGCACTGCTTTCCAAATATTCTCATGGCAGAATACATAAAGAATGGTGACACTGGTGCTGGCACAATGGGCCAAAGGAACCAAACTGCTGGGCCTCGGGGAGCAGTCCTGCTGTGCCCCACACCCACTCCTTGCACACCTGCTGGGATGCTCCGCCTTATGGCCCTCTCCCACAGGGCTAGACTTTTTGATCTCACAAATCCATGTCCTCCTCCAGGAGGTGGAATCTTCCCACTTATGTGATCTTCCAGGCTCCTCCAGGAAAGTGTGCACACTGATTTATGGGACAGACCTGACACCCCAGGTCCTCCCACTGTGTGTTCAGTTTCCAACACACCCAGTCTCTATGTATTGGAGGCAGGTAACAGTACCCACACCAGGAAGGAATTGCTAGGGCATCTGAATGGCCAAGATGACCCCTTGGTGAGCATCTTGGGAGCTCCTTGGCTGTCTCTCTTAATCAGGGTCACCTGGAGCATTAAAATGACAGGCAAGTCCACTTAGAGGCCACAGGAGCTGGAAGAACCAGGCCCGCTGCAGTGTCCTCATCTGTAACATGGGGCAACCTTTTCACTTTCCTCACAGGACAGTCAGGAGGCCTAAAGGAGGTCATGGATATGAAAGCTCTTGTCACACATAAAGAGCTACCCAAAAGAAATGGATTATTTTGATTTCTAATTAAAATGGGTATTTTGTTTATTTTTAGTTTTGAAATAAAAACTAGCTCCGATCACCTCTTATATCTCCCAAAAGCTTAGCCTTGCTGAGTTTCCAATCACCATCAATGCCTAAATCTTGGTTTCTAAATATCAATCTTCAGTAAATGGAACCAGGGCTGCTGAAGAAATGGCTGATTTTAGGGCTGGGTCAGAGAAAGACAAGATGAACCTGGAACATATTGAAGTGACAGTAACTAAAGAGTTGCTAAAAAATGAGGGCATGTCATAGGGACACAGGATTCATCCTAAAAGCTTGAACAATTTGATCAACAAAGTAAATAACATAGTATTGGATAACCACAGTACAAAATAAATACAACGAGTCTGTACTGGTAATAATAAATGATTGAACAAATAAATGGAGGAGAAGAGACTTTTTCCTTCTAGAAGGATTACAAATGCTACAGAGACTCTCCCCTTCCAGAAGGTATAGCTTAATCCCTCCCCTACCCTGGAGTGGGCAGGACCTTGTGACTTATTTGTAAGGCAATAAGAAATTGGGGAGTACAGTGGAGAAGTGTAGCAAACACTGTGGTGGCCAGGTGAAGGTTAAACCCCAGTGATGTCATGTACACCTAACCTGTTGCAATGAGGAAGGCACTTCACCTCTGTGGTCTTCCTCCCCAAAACTCATCACCCCAGTCAAATAATGAGGCAAAATTAGACAAACCCAAATTGAGGGACATTTTACAAAATATCTGACCAGTACGCTTAAAAACTATCAAGGTCATGGAAAACAAGGAAAAGCTGAGAATTAGTCACAAACCAGAGGAGTCTAAGGAGACACCACAACTACCCCCAATGTGGTGTCCTGGATGACATCCTGGAACAGAAACAGGACATTCGTGAAAAAAACAAACAAAAATAAACAAACAGGTGGAATCCAAACATAGGCTAGCTAGAAACAAAACTGAGCCAACAAAACCCTCTTCCCCAGGCCTGAGGTGTGTGGCTTTCTCCAGTGCCCGGCTCTGAGTTGCTGTCTGGTTTTCCAGTCTCGGCGTCCTTTGATGGGAAACAGCACCTGCGGAGCCTGCCTGTGGTGAATAGCATCGGGTATGTCCTCCGCTTCCTCGCCAAGCTGTGCCGAAGCCTCCTGTGCGATGACCTCTTCAGCCACCAGCCCTTCCCCAGGCGCTCCAGTGCCTCCGAGGAAGCCCAGGAGAACCAGGAAGGCAGGATGGAGACAGGTAGGCTTTGTCCATCTGTCTTCCCCTTGCCTGCAGGTGGTCCCAGGGGTACCTGCCCTCCCGGGCCAGATGAGGCTGCTGCTGAGGGAGCTGCCACAACTCCTCGGAGCTCTCCTGCTGGAGGCCCACGGGCTGCTTCTCTGGAAGCCCTGGGAGTAATCAGGGCCAGTCAGGACCAAGGATACCTAGATGGTCCGCATCCTGGCTGCAGTGGGAAGAGGTCACTCCATTATAGCTTCTAGGCCTATTAGAATTTAAGAGACCACATTGCATATAAAGAGTGATTTTCATCACACTCCTCTAATTAAGACTCCTGGGCATTTATTCATCATTGTTGAGGAGTTGAAAAACCAAGAAACTAAGGAAATAAGAAATCCTGGAAAAATTAGGGCTAAGAATCAATTACATTGGTCCTGCCTGGGGACCTCAGATGCCTACCAATGTCAATAAAAGGTGTGCCCGAGTGTCTGTCATTGCAAGAATTTGACCAGACCATAAACCAAATGTCTTCCAGTGAGAGTTAGTGTTTCTTTTTCATCACAGAATGGAAAGTGACCCAGGGGCTGAGTGCCTTTGGTACCTCCAGCCCCAGAATAGCTCAGCATGGGAAAGTGGCCATTCCCAGTGGGAAGGGCATAAGGCCACATGGGCAAACTTGCCATGATGTGTCTGTGACTATTCTTATAACTGGCAATTTGTACTTTTTAATCCCTCCATCATTTTCACTCATTCCCAAATCCTCCTCTCATATGGGATCATTAATTTGTCCTCTGTATCTATGAATTTGTTTCTGTTTTGTCTGTTCATTTATTTTGTTTTTTAGGTCCCACATATAAGTGAAATCATATGGCATTTGTCTTCCTCTGTCTGACTTACTTTACTTAGCATAATATCCTCTAGGTTTGTCCATGTTGTTGCAAATGGGAAGATTTCATTTCTTTTTTATGGCTGAGTAATATTCCATTGTATCAGTATATATGTACCACATCTTCATTCATCTATTGATGTACATTTAGGTTGTTTTCATATCTTGGCTACTGTAAATCATGCTGCTATGAACATAGGGGTGCATGTATCTTTTCAAATCAGTGTTTTAGATGTATTCAGATATATACCCAGAAGTGGATAGCTGGGTCATATGGTAGTTCTACTTTCAATTTTTGGAGAAACATGCATACTGTTTTTCCAGATTTGGTGGCTGCTCCAATCTGCATTCCCACCAGCAGTGCACTAGGGTTCCCTTTTCTCCACATCCTCGCCAGCACTTGTTGTTTGTTGATTTAGCCATTCTGACAAGTGGGAGGTAATATCTTATTGTGGTTTTAATTCACATCTCTCTGATGATTAGTAATGTTGAGCATCTTTTCATATGTATGTTGGCCAGCTGTATGTTCAGTTTGGAGAAAAGTCTATGAAGGTCATCTGCCCATTTTTAATTGGATTACTGGGGGGGGGGGATGAAAGGGGGGCTTAAGTTGTATGAGTTCCTTATATATTTTGGATATTTACCCCTTATTGGATTTATCATTGGCAAATATATTCTCCCATTCAGTACATTGTCTTTTCATTTTGTTGATGGTTTCCTTTGATGTGCACAAACTTTTAGTTTGGTGTAATCCCATTTGTTTATTTTTTCTTTTGTTTCCCTTGCCCAAGGAGACATAACAAAAAAAATATTGCTAAGAGTGATGTCAAAGAGTTTACTGCCTGTGTTTTCTTCTAGGAGTTTTATGATTTCAGGTCTCACATTTAAGTTTTTAATTTACTGTGAGTTTATTTTTGTAGCTGGTATATGAAAGTGGTCTAGTTTCAATTTTTTGCATCTATCTGTCTAGTTTTTCCAATACCATTTATTGAAGAAACTGTCTTTACCCCATTGTATATTCTTGCCTTCTTTGTCATAGATTAATTGACCAAATAGGCATAGGTTTATTTCTGGGCTCTCTATTCTGTTCCATTGATCTATGTGTCTGTTTTAATGCCAGTACCATGCTGTTTTGAGTACTATAGCCTTGAAGTATAGTTTGATACCAGGTAGTGTGATACCTCCAACTTTGTTCTTCATTATCAATATCTCTTTGGCTATTTGGGGTCAACAAAGTCTTAGCATAGATTTTTTTTTTAATACTGTCAAAACATTGTCTACAGTTTTACTTTAATCTCTCTGAAACCAGGGAAATTCTGCCTTTATAAAGAAAGGTAACTAATTAAATTTGGCCTTTGTGAGCAGATGCTGTATATTTCCTGTTTTTCTTGATGTCTCTGGGCCTCAGTTTCTTTTATTTTTTTAATATATTTTTATTGACTTTAAAGAGGAAGGGAAAGGGAGAGATAGAAACATCAATGATGAGAGAGATCACTGATTGGCTGCCTCCTGCATGCCCCCTACTGGGGAGCAACCCATCGAATCTGGGACCCTTCAGTCTGCAGGTCGAAGCTCTATCCACTGAGCCAAACCCGCTAGGGCTGGGCCTCAGTTTCCTAAATGAGGGCTTGGAGTTGCTCATGTCTAATGTTCCTTCTGGTTCTGACAGTATGGATCTGGCTCTTCTGTAAAACTTAGTTCACTCAGAAACATTCTAAAGCTAATATACCTTCTAGTGAATCTTGCAATGAGACGAGCAGAATTGTCTAATTACACTTCTCAAACTCTTGAATCGTTGTTTCATTGAACAACCAATGACCCATGGGACATAACCATAAAGCCACATAATCCATGTCTCCCATTGTCCTTTAAATGCATCCTGTGGGACCATTTCTTTCTTATCCATGAATACATTTAGGACAAATCTTGTGACTCTTCTGGCTCCTTTCGGGTAACAAAACATTCTCTAGCCAATAATTAATATGTCCAGGTCAGTGTGATCATCACTTTAAATTTCACTCAAAGATATAACTACTCCCCATTCCCAGTGGGGCCTGCTTTGCCAGTTGCCTACAGCAGTAAAGGAGGGTTTGGTTGGCTTCCCTGCACCCTCTGCCCAGCCTTGTGTTTTTGCCCCTCTCGCATATCTAGCTCATGATTTTGAAGGAGAGGCAAGAATAAGAGAGCTTTTACTTGGCTAATCCTGCTGTGAGTTGGCATCATGCTCCCTGATTCTGGCAGGTGTTTAAAGCTTATCCTTCATCCTGTGGGCTTTTACAAGGGTCTTTCGGTGATTCCACCATCTCTCACATGGACAAATGTAACTCCTCTCTGGCTGCTTACTTACAACTCCTTCCATAGCCTCAGGTACCTGTGAGTAAATCTCTAACTGCTTTCTGCTGAGGCCCCCATGTGCCCCCAGACAGTCCTGTGGAAAGGTTCTAAGATCTTACTTCAGACCTCTCTTCTGATGGCTCCATCCAGCCCCTGAGAAACACACATTCTCTACTCAAACCAACTGTGGGCGTGCAGGCAGGTCTCTGCAGGCACCTCTCCTTTGCTCTACCATCAGAGCAGCTAGACTTTTAGATTTCTCATGGGAACCAAACAGGGATCCATTGTGTCTCGCAAGTTCCAGAGGCAGACAGCAAGCTCTTCACATGGCCACATTGAAGCCCCTGGGAACCCACTGGACAGTTCTCTCCATAATTCATCTTCTATTCAACCTGTTTTGCAACCCCTACAATTTATTTTGTAGACTAGATGTGGGCTGTCATCTATAGGTGTAGAACTGGCTTCCCACCATCTCTTTCTGCAAGATTGGAACCCTTCACTCTGGTATGGGGTGTCTATTGTCTTGCAGCCTCAGCCAAAATGAAAACCAAAATAGTTTTATTTTAACATCTTGTCCCAGGAGCCTCCCTTCAGCTGCCTTTAAGTGATCACTGAGAAAACTCTTGCCTTGGTTTTCACCTTATTCTCTCCCCTCCCAAGCTCACCATGCTGAATGAGGTTCCAGTCTTTCCCCTGGAGTAGTGTAGCTGCCTCACTGCTTCCTTTGCCTGGGGCGGGCATTTCTACCTGAATGCTGGTTTCATTCCTAGTTGGCTTGGCTTTGGAAGTAATGACTGCAATTGTTTTCACGAGCCCTTCCCTAGCCCATGGATGCTTTGAAAAACTGAATTGTTCTAAATCAACCGATTTCATGGCATTGTTCCTCATGCCAAGTGTTGCAGAACAGAGTGCCATGCGTTTCATGTGTCCAGGGACGTCAGGGAGAGTGGGAGGAGGCAGCTATGGCACAGTATGCTCTAAGCAGCCCCCGTGTCACACGTCTTTCCCACCAATCTGCCATGGGGCCTAGAATGACACCATTTAGGAGTCTGTCTTTAGATTATGACATTGCCTCTTTAGGCTTACCTTGTCAAAATTCCCTTAAAGGGTAACACATCAAATTATTATTACTTTACATGAGGAATTAGTTTATCACCTGTTTTCCCACCGTTGTGTCAAGAAAGGCAAGGGTGTTTACAAGGGGGAGGAATGGAGGTCTTTGTTAAGCTTAGGCTCCCTATCTGTCCATATGACCACATTCCTAAACAAGACTGTGCAGTCTTGAGCTCATTTGAAGCAGGTCCTGCTTTGCCCTGAGGTTGTTCCGCCAAAGCTGGAGTGTTTCAGGCTTGCTGCCACATAGTTAGAGGGTGTGTCAACATTCATGCGAGCACTTCCAGGAGACAGCTAATAAGACCATAAGAAAATGCAAAGCCATGGCACATAGGATCTATCAAAGGAACGACAATGTTTGTGGCTGAAAATGGATGATTTGGGGAAGACATGGTTTTCTGTTCCAGTATCAAAAACAGCAGGTCATGTGGGTTTGTTCTCTGTGGTCCTGAAGGTGGATTTAATTTAGCCTGAGGTCTTGCTGCTCAAACTCTGGTCAGAAGCAATGCCACCACCTGAGAAAGGCCAAAGCTCAGCAGCCTCCCACACTCGTTAACCACAGGTGCCAGGTGTTTCGAAGACACAGCGAAGTTTGGGAAGCAGAAATTGAAGGAATACTCTTCTAGGTGGAGAGCTTGGCAGCTGAACAACCAGGTGGAACTCTCAGAAGATAGTTCCCTTAGAAGTC